TTGAATAGCCAAATGTTTTAAGACTCAGCTTTCTGGTATTAACTCCTGTATAAGCTGGGGAGACGGAAGACCTTCAGACATACTACTCCAATGTGCCCACCTGTTATAGTCATCTTTTGACATGTTGCAAGGTCCACATAACCTTTTAGTAGAGTTGGTACTGACTAGAGGAAAGGCAAAGCTTTTAATGATATCAATGCATCATAGCGCAGGAGTTCTTACGTCAGCACTTGTGAAGACCCTGGCCATCTGACCACCCTGCCTGTTATGTGCCACCAATTGGGGAATCCCAGTCACAGCTGGCTAGTGGCATGGATGAAGCTACTACCTGTGTAACGAAACAGTTCTTTCCAGACCCTATCCAGATGACACAATCTGGAATAGTGAGGAAACACTGGGGAGAAAAGTCATGCAGGAATTGGGGATCAAAACAGGGGGCGTGTCCTAGGTGCGCTGGTGTTCAGGGGCGTGAGTCCGGGGCAAACAATTCAGTAGTAATCCAAAGGTGAAATCCAAACACGAGCAAAGTCCAAAGCCGGGGAGTCCATCCGGGAACAAACAAGATAAAACCTGGAACCAGGTCAGAACCGGCGGAAGAGGAATGGGAACAGAGAATAAAACCTTAACGGGACCAGGTACTTAAAGGTCCCAGACTCACATGATATGGAGATCAGATGCAGAGCCGGGATTAACGTCAGCGCCTGGCTTTTAAGGTGGACTGGGAACAGGGGACAGGTGCACAAAATCAAGTCCGAAGTGAAAAGGCCAGAACGCCCTTAAAGGGGAGGAACTACAGTCGTGACACCTCTGATAGGAAAAGTGTGCTTTTGTTGTTTGACCAACCAGACCAACCAGACGCTAAAGGTATTTGTGTAATATGACAAATGTGACACCCGTCACACCACATGCAGACAAGGCCTGTCATCTTGCCTGAATCTGCTAACTCCAAACACTAGTGCATATTTACATTTATTTTGCTCTACTTGTTGGGGTTTCTAAATCCACATTGAACAAACTCCTGTATGTCTAAAATTTGGCAGGCAGAATCTTGACCAGGTCTAGTGCAAATAATCACATTACTCCTATCCTGGAGTCCTTGCACTAGCTTCCTGTCAGATTTTGTGTCGACTTCAAAATCATCATGCTCACCTATAAGGCTCTTTATGGCTTTGCACCTCAGTACCTCTCTGACCTACTATCGTCCTACTGTACTCCCCACCTCGCAACCTTTGCTCTTCCAACTCTGTCCCCAAGCCCATCTATACTCTATGGGTTACCTTCTCCTATTATGCCCCAAAGCTTTGGAAATCTTTTCCTAAGGACATCAGAGAGTCATCTTCCCTAAGCTAAGACTCAAAACCATCTTCTTTAGAAGAGCCTTTGCTTAACTGGTTCTGTTATTAACTCCTTTGCTTCTATCATATTCAGCAGCCCCATCTACTGTCTCCTCCCATTGTGTATTTTCATTGTGCATATTTGTGCACTTTTATTTTTGTTTGTTGTGATTCTGTAAAGCACTTTAAGAAGCCACCTTAAAAGGCCTGATATAATATAAAGTTTATTATGATTTATTATTTCATGTTGGTGTTGCATATCTTTACCGGGTAACCATAGCTATGCTGTGTTGATTCTAACAGAAAAGAAACAGCATTATTCAGTCACCTGACCCACATTATAGATCTACATTGAAGATCTTTTTAACTTCAGTTGAAGTTGGTTGCCATGCCTATGTTGTTATAAATCATGGAAGTATCATACAATAATCAAGGAACAAGTAAAGGTTTATTCCATGCTGAAAAGAGAAGGAAAACGTTTCAGCCTGAAACTAGGATCACACTTTCCCCCTTCTCTCAATGACAGACTTGTTTCCTTCTAATCCTCTCTATTCATTTGCAGGTTTTGACTTAACAACTCTCTTCCCCTCTCTCGACTTCACACCACCTGTGTCCACTCTGCTTCTCCCCTGCTCCCAGCTCCTCTCCACTCCCAGCTTGTGTTCTCCTGTGCTTTATCAGCTGCTGATTCTCCTCTTTCTCACACACCCAAAGAAGGCTCCACAGCCAAAACATTGTGTTTCTTTTCTTTTCTTTTCAGCATGGAATAAACCTTTACTTGATGCAGCTACTGTACCTATTGGAACTATACAATAATCAAATTAAATCAAATGTGAATACTGACAAAATCCAACACAAAATTCTGAATACTACTGTACAGTAATGCCTCTCTTCATACAGCAAAAATAAATCAAAATGTTTTTAAACATATCTCAATTATTTTCTTGTAGGACTGATTTATCTTATATCCAAACGTTTCTTTCCAATAAAAAATCAGACCTCCGTTCACGATCAGGCATGCCAATCCACGTGATAATTCAGCTGCCCATTAATTTAGAGAAAATCCAGAAACTGGATTCACAAGCTATGACAGCATCCAGAATTTTTTATTTTCTTGTCCACTAGGGGAAAGTGATCCCTGTGCCACGTGCCAGCTAAATGATGACATCATCCAACCATGTGTGACTGAAGACAAAACACTTTTTTAAATCCATATAATTCCATTGAAAGGTTCCCAATTAGATAGGTCAGGACTGACCAGAGAGGAACATTTTTCAAGTTATCAAAGTGCAAGCCAGTTGCAGCTTGCTATTTTTCAGGCTAAAAGTTCAAGTATTTGAAAGGAAGAATTTGAAAGTCAGTGGGGATGAGGACGACAGAAAAAATGAACATATAAGAAATGCATGCAAGGCCAAGTAAAAAATGCCTGTTAGTTCCCCACTATATAAGTGTTTAACACGCCACATTAAATCCTTTACTGACAGTAACAGTTTGTAAAATTCAGTTTATTTCCTGGTGAATGTCAGACATCAGACCAGTTAAGTTTAGAAAGTCAGTAGATTTAAAAAGGAGTTTAGACAAAGCAATAGCATGGTAAATACAGCAAATACAATACCCATTAAGAATTAGTCTCTAAATACTAGTGCAGGCTCACATTTATTTAATGTTGGTGTTGCATATGGGCTGATAAGTTTAAGTGATAAGTGTAAGTAAATAATGGATCCAAATGGATTCGGATGATTAGATAGGAAAGACTATCAAAGATAGATGTCTAGCATGGCAGCACTATATAAAGATTGGGGCAGTATTGAGTATTGTAACACATATATTAGATCCAAATTTGGATAGCACTTTCTCTGGATAAAAAAATAAAATAAAACAAAGTCTGTCACACCACAAGATAGTGAGGAGTAGTTATACTTTATGGAAAAATGTGTCCAGGAGACACAATGCTAAATCCTATACCCAAGGTTGAACAGTGAAAGATAACATGTAAAATATTGGTAGTACGGATGTAATCTTTTGTTCAATGTAGTACAGTACATAATGAAATCATGACTACTTTTTAAAACCAACATTATACATCATATGAATTTTGTCTGTGTGAGCTCTCAGAAAATTAAACACTCCATGTCATTTGGAAAAAAATTAAGGTCAAGCATGTGATCCACTGCATTAATGTGAGTGATTCTTCAGTTAAGATGTGCCTGAAAAGAAAGAAGCACATTTCAATGACTGTTATGCCATAAATGTCTAGTTTATATATAAGTGGAGAGAAGTGCTGCAGTGGCAAAACGAACATGCGGAAATGATCATAGCAGCAGGCTGCATCGTTTTTAACATATGGGCTGGAGGAAACATTGCCTGTCCCACAGTGAGAAGAAATTGACAGAAGCGGTTTGCCAGGCAGCCTGCTGTATTCGCAAGTAAGCACAAGCTCCTCCATGTTCCAGCTGAAGCACTAGAAAAAAACGAAAGCTTGGGGCAACACCGAGTTAAAAGTTTCCTCTTTTGAATAGAAACATCTGGATCTGGGCACTTTGCAGAAAGCTGGAAAGCTGCTGGAGAAATCAAAACCGCTATTAGGCAAAGTATGGTGCACACATCATTGAAACTTTGGGGTCAAAAGGTTGCTATAATTGTTTGACTTGGGGGACTCTGGAAAGGCATAAATAGCCGGCTCTAACTGTCAGCTCTTGCAGTCCTTCCTCCTGCCAGCCCAGACACAGGTGCTGTCTTCTCAGCTCGGCTCCTCTCCATCTACATAAAGTGAGTACAAAGCATTCCAACTTTTTAAAGCTGTAAATAGAATTTAATCTCTTTGTTTTCATGTGGTTCTGATACGCTGGCGAGAAAGGCACAAACGAACTACTGTATAAATAATTGTTCTCAACAGATTATTTTGGAGAATCCTTATGCATGCAATGTAATATAATACCGACATACATTCATTGCAATCAGTTAATTTCCTTTTATCAGCTTCATCCCTGCTTTTTTTAACCAAGAATTCCAATGAATCTGAGCCTTAACCAAGTGTTTCCCTGAGACAGAAAGGTGCCTTTTCTTTCTGTGCATTACTCTTTTATCTGTGAAACATACAGTAGAATCTAAACAAGGCAATTTTCTGAAAGTTGTCGAGCTTTGTATTCTGACATGTTGCATGTGAAAATCTGACTTTTCTACAGATGTCATATGAGAGATATACTCTCTGATTCGATCTTTATTTAAACCCTTTACTGTTTCCCAGCGTTTTCTGAGAAATGATAGACAAGAGATACATCAAACTGTACTCAAAATGTTAAATGTTCCTCCTTACATTAGTAACATATCCCTAGAATAGAACACAAAAATAAAAACATTTAGTTTAAGAATACTTTTAATTATACTCCAACCACTTATACAATCAACGATCTTTTACACACTTTATGGAAGCAGCTAAATGACTGTTTCAGAATTTCGGCCAACCGAATTTAAATTCTTTCCTCCTTAATCATAAGGCAGATTGTCTTCAAACTGTGATGAATCAGGCAACATTTCTTTTCTTGAAACATGTAATCTACGAGGAATTGCCCTGCCGCCTAACATCAGGTTTGCCTCCGTCTTTCCCTAGAGACAGTCATGGAAAAGCTGATGTGTGTCTGTAGATGCAGTGCAGTGTGCTGGCTGGCTGTGCTTGCAGGGCTTTGCTGTGTCTACAGTCTGCCTCTAGATGTAGACCCTGTCTGCACTGCAGAAGGAAATGCCAAATACAGCCTGGTCTTTACAGGCAAGTGGAGCCAGGCTGCCTTCCCGAAGCAATATCCCCTATACAGACCTCCTGCACAGTGGTCACCAGTCATCGGTAGGTTAAAGGTCTATTCACTATAAAAACAATGGATCATGTTTAATTTCCATAGAACTGAGTCCACATTTTCATGTTCCTAATCATTTCTGTTTCTGAATGACAGAGGGCTGACAGAGAAATATTAGGTCAGGCACACAGCAGCACATTTTGGGATTGAGAACAAACTGATGGAGAATAGGACAGATTAAATAGGTGCTGTTTTTTGACCTGCCATTGTTTCAGTGTGGCTGCAGAGTAACACTGTGCACTGTTAAAAAATGTTAAGTAGATGAGTTGTGAGGCAGAAAATGAAATGATTTTGAATTATCCTGTATACATTTAAGCTTGTGAAATCTCTGATTTTTGTCAGTAATTAGGAAATAATAGCCATTAGTTTACTTGGTTCCTAGTAACAAATTAATATCCTCAAACTATTTGTTGAAAGAAGTTAGGGCATCAGTTTCAACAATATGGATGAGCAACTTGTTCCATACTCTCACACCTGTTTGTGTAAGAAAGTGCCTCCTGTTCTTAGTTTTGAATCCACAAAACTTACTCCCATTATATAATATAAGGCACCTATGAAATAGCTGTATTTTTAAGATTAAGGCTAATATTAATATTAAATAAAAGAAGGCAGCAGCATCTCGTCTGCACCTCTGTATGCTCTGTGCACTTAGACTACCAAACACGAGGTGGCATGGGGGTTATGTGAATCTCATTACAGCCATCAAGGTTGCAGCCTGATAGCAAAACTCCCAAAGAGCTAGGAGCCATGCTGTTCTGTTTCCACATTTAATGAAAAGCTTTACCCTCACTAAGGGTTTAATGACCTTTGCAGCATAGACGTGGTGTCATCCCTCCATCTGTGAATGCAGAGGCAATGGAGAGCAGAAGAGAGAGAAAGTTATGGCTGACCCTACTCCAGATATACTACGATGGTCTCCCTGTACTGCTCATTTACCTCTTAATTTGCCATTTCTTTACCTTTTTGGGCATGTAAGTCTCCACCCGATGGAGCCAGGACTCACTCAAAGGGATGGGGTTTTGTACATGTGTTTTGGGAGCATCAGCTGTTTTTCACAGTCCACTAAAAACCTCTCAGACCATCCAGGGTGTGCAGCTCTTGTCCTCTGGTTCTAGCTTCCTACAGGGTATAAACACACCCTCCAATTAGCACAAATGATAAAGGTCCGGAAAACACATCTGACTTAACTTTTTATCCACTTACAATGGGCTCAAGAATTATTGGCACATTCGCTAAAGGTGAGCAAAAAAGTTGTATAAATAAGCAGCACAGATAATGAGCTATACAGTATTTTATGCCCCCAAATTTGGATAACTACAGGCTTTTATTCTAATTATTTCAAAACAAATGTGTTCAAATAAGTAATACTATTTTTTCACAAATGTCAAAATGATTGGATCTCCTGTCTCTAGTACCTGGTGTGACCTCCTCTGGCAGGGATAACAGCACAAAGCCTTTTCCTCTAACGTGTGATAAGGTGGGAAAACGCCTTGGGAGGAATCGGAGTCCATCCCTGTAGGCACAAACTTTCCAGGTCCTTGATTTCCTAATGGATTGCAGCACTTCACTGTATTAAAGCTCATACTTTTCCCCATTTTTAGGTAATGAAATCTCATTATCTGTGCTGTTTATTTTCTAGGGATTTTTTGTTCATCCTCATTGGGGATGCCAATAACTTTTGAGCCCTCTGTAACTGGTCCAAGTTATTAAGGTCTCAGAAGAAATAAGAGCCAGAAAAAAACTGCAGCAGTCTAGGGCTAGGGTTACCTCCTCTGGGCCATTCCATGGTTCCAGTTCTGACTCAGTGAGAGATTTGATTGGCAGGTAGTGGCAGAGGAGACTTTAGTGACTCCTGACCACACTGGGGGGCTCACCCACCTGCAAAGCGCTCTAAACTTACTGAAGCTACTCAGCCAGGGCCTGTCTATGCCATCTTCAGCTTATGAGCTGTGCTCTCATCCCCGGTTTGACCCCCGGTTTCTGGCTTGTATTGGCTAACTGGAACAGATCTCTCAATGGCTCTGCAATAATCCATATTGCTGTAACTAGTTTACCCCTAGCAGACACGAATGTCTTAAGACATTACATGTTGGAAATGTTTTCTTGAGCACTTTTATAGACTCTCAGCTAGTGAATATAACAGTATGTTGTCAGTCTAGTCAATTTTATGGAGGGAAAAGTTTGCAATATGGTCAGGAGAAAAATTTAGTTTTTTTTTTAATAGACACACACATCCTTAAAAGTTTATCTCTGTTTCTAGCATCTAATGACAACCAACTGAACATGTTTGTAAACACTTTGAAAAATTTCTTTCAAAAGGTGTAACCCATAGCTCTGACTACCATACGTGGCGAAGAAATGAATACGCCAGCAACGGTGTGCGAGAATTTACGGAGAAGGGAGAAGCATGGATGTTAATGAAGGAGGTGCAGTTGGCTGGAGAGAGGATTCAGAGTGTCTATGGTATTTTCTCTGCTTCAGCCATCAGTGGTGGCACTGGACATACTGCTACTGAGTTTGAGGTCTTCGCAAGACACTCTCTTGTAAGTCTGTGTACAGTTGACCCCAGCTGATACCTGATTTAATTGATAATAGGTGGAACAATTGCTTGGTAAAGACACTGCAAATAAACAGTACATAAGTACATAATTGTGATAAAAGATTTTAAATGTAGATCAATCTCACGTTGATTTCCACATCTGTAGGGCAATTCAATGAAAATATATGCAAACAGACTGAGATATTCTTGATTATTACCCAAATCCTTGCGTGCAGCGTGAACATCTGAAATATTCTGTCATTTTAAATACTCATTAATGAACTTGTTCTGAGTTGAAACAACTGATTTTTGAATGCACTGCATAAAGTACACTTACACATAATTTCCATACTTTTCCATATTGAAAAAATGTAACAGGGATTAAATAGAATATTGAGTATTAGTTAAAATTGAATAGAAAATCTTAAAACAGCAGATATATCCTAGTGATTGGAGAAGGCTTCTTTGTAATTATTCCACGTAATTTAGGTATTATTCAGTTAATGTTTTGTGATTTTTTATGGTGAGTGCTTCTCACTATCATCTCACTGCTTTCATTAAAACTAAATCAACAATTATATATACAGAACTTTGTAAAACACAGAAAATAATACACTTCCACACATACAGGCTAAATGTAATAGTTGTGTTTTCTGCTTTCATAATATACCGTTTACAAAATTAAGTAAAATTTGATCCCTTTTCAAATTTACACATTACACGATTCTGAATAACTAAGGCCTAGGTACTGTAAATCAATCCAGCCTGGGTTCACAAAAATGAAACCACTCATAATATGACTAAGATGTAGTTTTCCTTAAGTATGCAAAAATATATTAAATTCCATTTTGAACATGTAGAAGCCTTTACAAATCATTAGGAAATTCATTATAGTAGATTATCTCATGGCTGTGCCACATCTAGACCAAGGTTTTATATCATGCTTTGCCATGTTTGAACTTTTACTTTGCTGTTACTATGTTGTACCACAACAATTGTTTGTAGGGGCTCATTGATTTTATGCATTCAGTCATAATACCACAGTTGGTAGCAATATACTTTTGGATCCTCAACCAAACACAGATATCAAATGCATGGACATGTGGTTCCTCTCATTCTGTGCAGGATTATTAGTGTCACTAGAACACTAGAACACTGTGATAAGCCACTGCCTTGTTGAACTAAGACCTAAGTGCTAAGAATGTTTGTGAAGCCCCAGTATAATGTAATGAATTACAAGATCTGAACCAGAGAGGTTCATTTACAAAGTCAAATTTTCTTGACACGCAGTGGTACTGTACATGAGAAAAAAATAAATAAATAATGAACAACCAGTGTATGTGAAATAATAGGTGAACTTCTAGTTTACTTGGCACTGTTAAGGGGGTAATTGGAATCAGGTGGCTAAATAATTTGAGGTAAGTAGTATATGATAAGAAAGTTGTGAGTTTAGTTTTCCATGGTTTTCCACATAAAGGTTAGTAGAAAGACACCATGCTATGCTGAAAAGAAATTTCAGAGGACCTCAGAAAGAGGGTTACACAATTATTTGAAAACATTCTGGGATGTCCACTGTTACTGTCCTACAAATGGAAAATTTAAAGACTGTGGTGACTATACCCATGACCTCATTATCTTGCCAAGATTTCCCCAAGAGCAACCTGGAAAATTATCCATGTAGTCACAAAGAACCCAGGAGTAATATTTAAGGATCTGCACGCCTCCCTTGCTACAGTTAATGTCAATGCTCATACCTCAGCCATCAGAAAAAAAGACTCAAAAAGAATGGTTTTCTTGGTTGGATAGCCATAATTCTAAAAAAAAAAAACAGTGTTTTCTGTCTCAACTTTGCTGAAAAGCACTTGGATGATCCAGAAGACTACTGGAAGAACTTTGTCTGGATAGACATGTCAAATGTTGAACTTTTTGACCAAAATGAGAAACATTTCACGTGGCAAAACAAAACAGTGCTTTCCAACAGAAAAACTAATCCGGACTATCAAGCATTGTATTGGCAGCATCACGATTTGGAGCTGTTTTACTGCCTCAAGACAGTTTGTCATCATTGATTGAACCATAAATTCAGTGCTGTATCAGCAGACTCTGCAGAAGAATGTCAAATCATCCATTTGTCAACTGAAGCTGTGTCAAAAGAGGGTCATACAGCAAGAAAATGATCATTAACTTACAAGCAGATCTACACAGAATGGTACAGGAATAAGATACTTCACATTCTGGATTGGCCAAATCATTGCGTGGATCAAATTAAAATTTCCTAAAGCTGATGCAAAAGACTAATAACCAGGTTCGTCACAAATCGCACGCAAGCATCACCACATACCCACGTGCACTGCACACACATACACCACACATACTCATGCACTAATTGATATAACGCTCCTTCCTATTTAAACCCTCTCTCCTCAATCCGTCCGAGCTCACCATTGATCCTTTTCTCAGCTAGAGCTACTCAACCCTTCGATCCTAATTTCTAGTTCTCTCTCGACCTTTTGATAACGACCTTGGCTTTACGTCCAAGACTTGCTTGGTTTGCTGTCTAACTGTCTGTACTTCACCACACATGTAGTTGTTGGTTATGTACCTGGAGAGGTGGACAGTGATGCAGCACGATTCGTGTCTGTTCTGCTATTGACATTGTAAACCATATAATGTTGAGAATTAATGTTCTATAATGTTGAGAATTCTGGTGTGAAATGCGACAGGTTTAACAACGTGACCAAAATCAGAGTCATGGATGCTCAAGTCTGTCTTAGTAAAAAGAAATCTGCCATCTTTTTGCCAATTTTTCAGCTCTCCTTCATCGTGCGAATTGTACCCAGCCCAGACTGGTTTGTTGGCGTGGACAGTCTGAACCTTTGTGAAGGAGACCACTGGAAAGAGAGCATAACCTTGGACCTGTATCCATACGATGCTGGAACAGACAGTGGCTTTACATTCTCCTCCCCAAACTTCGAAACCATTCCTCAGGAAAAAGTCACTGAGGTGTTGTACTGTTGCTAAACTTCAATTGGAGTGAGCTCTCAAATGCATTGAGTTGTGCCTTTCTGTAAATTCAAATATTTAATACAAGACCTATCATTAATTGGCAAATAATAATAACCTAACTGTTTGCAATATATTTTAACAGAAAATACAACATTTCATATTTTAAAATAAAACCAACTGTTTCCACAAATCCACGCTACATTAAGATTGAATTCAAGTATGTTTTTTTAAGTAAGTTTTCAGTACCATAAAATTTATTTTCAGACTGGTAATTCAATAAGATTATAAATGCCTCAGTTTAATGTTTGTAAGTTGAATGTACTGTAATTTACATTATTTTCATAATTGTGTTTAAACCACACATACACACCACAAAGTAACAGATTTATTAGCTTGCAAGTGTTTATGTCAAAACAGTAAAATGGCTGTTGAAGACCCCTTTTCATTGAGCACAACTGAGCTTTGAAACTTCCATATTTCCATAATTACCACATGCTCGGATTTTTGTTTTTATGTGTTACACACTTGATGAGGCGTTTTAACGACGGCACCTTCACAAAAACGAAGCGGTTATCAAATGAGTAAAGGATGGCTGTTTCTGTTTGCACAGATCACGTCGTCCTTCCCAAGTCACCCTGCCAACTCCTTCTACTACCCCCGGCTGAAGCACCTCCCCCCCATCGCACGGGTGACCATCACCAAGCTGAAAGGAAACCATATCGACAGTGTGCCTGCAGCACACACGACCCCCACCCTCATTCCAATCGACAACGAAATAGGTGACGCCCTTACAAGTAAGCTCTTGACATTTACACTTATCTAATGCAACGGCCCAGAATACCAGCTGTCGGCATGACAACAAGATGATGGCTCTATTATCTGGTAGTTGGCTTCCATTGATGCAGTCTGGTCTGTAATTGCTTAATGTTGATCCCTTAAAACACATTCCTTTGAACTTCATTTTGTCTCTGAGGCTTTCCTTTAGCTTTCACCCATACCAGATGATTTATATGATGATCTTCTAGTTTTATACCATGTGGTATTTATATCTGATATAAAACTGTTGTACTTAACAGCTAATGCTTGTTTTCATAGAGTTTCATTGGCCCAGACTTGTCTAAATCCTTCTTCAATTCATAGTTTGTGACCTGTAAATTCACCTAGTCCGTTATCTTCAAGTTATCTGAAAATGTCCGGATTTTCTAATTTTACATTCCAAGGTCATTTTTGTAGATAAAGGACAACAATGACCAAAATACTGCTTCCTGTAGATATCTGCTAGGCTCTGGCTTCCAATTAACCCAGTGCTGTAATATTTTGGCTGTTTTAAAAGCTCATGGAATCAGTGGATGTTTCCATTCAATCTTTTGGTAGCTTAAGAGTTGACAACATTTAGTCCAATCATTGCTCAAATCCTACTATTACAATTCTACACAAATAATTTAAAATTAACATCAGATAAAAATAAACCACATAACATAATGATTATTGACTGACAATATTACCAACCACATTTTAAAGGTTTACCAGAATTATGAGGCCCACAGAATATTCAAAACAAGAAAAATAAGAACTGTAGTTGTAGATCTGTCTTATATATTTCAATGTCAAATATATATGTAACATTTTATCAGCAAAAAGACTAGTTTTCTCTCTGTCTGTATGGTAGATTAAAGAGATTTAGAAAAATGTTTATTTTAGGAATAATGATCTGTACCATATGCATGACAATCCATTTCTAAATACAAATACTGTAGGTGTTGAAGACAGGGTAAATACATCACTTATCATGCACCACATGAACCTAGTACTCCTGCCTCACATTATGTAAACAATATATTTGCTAGCATGGAGATCATCCCAAACAAGACAATACACATTGACATTATGAACAAAACGTTTTGTGATTAAGTAATCAGGAAATGTTTGTAATGGAAGCAAGGGTTTGATTAACGGTTCAGATTACTTTTTCTCTCTTCTTGTTTCAGTGTTTTGTATGTCGTGCACATGCCAGATCTGTAATAAATGTCACATTGCTTTTGAGTCACAGGTCATTAGTTCAAACTAACTTTGTTATTTACACAGCATATTAAAGTTATAGCAAGCAGAACACAGTTCCAACTGCTAGGTAGCCATTTTGACTTTTAATACATATTCAAACGTTCTAACAAGGGGCTTTTGAAGAATTACATTTACTGTAGTTAAGAAAAAGATCACATTACAGTATCCACCTTTCTCTTTATGAAAACATTACAGTACATGTGCATTTTGCTGTAAGTATCCATCTTCAAAATATGTATTTTTCCAAATGTGTCTAAGTTTAAAGGTTATAGTCTATTTCCTTAGGTTTACAGTATGCTGCACTTTCAGCCTTACGACTAATTTATTCAATGCAAAGGAACAGGTAACAGGTTTATTCCACGCTGAAAAGAAAAGAAAGGAAACAACGTTTCGGCCGTGGAGCCTTCTTCAGGGTGCTATCAATTATTTGCAGTTTACAAGTCAAAATACAATGTCTTCTGACAGTACTGTGACAAAGCAGGAACAGCTGTGGCACATTCACTCTTGATTTCTGCCCACACCCAGAAAATAACTGTACAGAAACAGGATCAGATTTGTAGGCTTTTTCAAACCTTTCTTTACTCTGCACGGATCTAAAGACCTTCTCAAGGATGATGCAGTCCAATTTTTTACACTTTTCCTACAAAAACTTCTATTACTGCATAACAGTAACTCTGTCAGATAGATCTGTTGCATAAGAAGCCTAATCTAAATCTATAATGCAACCACAGGCTTTTCTATGGCAAACTCATTTGTACAGTATATGATTTCTAAACTAAAGAGCCAAGTTATGTATTTAGCTCTGGGCATGACAATGTTATATCACAAGTGATCTGTAAATAATTACATATTTTTATTATGCTGGAGCACCTGTCTTCAGACTGCACAGTCTCACCATCAGATGTCTAAAGCACAGTACATGTTTTACCTGTTAAGGGAGGGGCACAGTACATGTTTTACCTGTTAAGGGAGGGAAGAGAGCTTCTAGTTATATTTCATGTTCATTTTTACAATTTGTCCTTCCTCAAAGAAAAAAAAAAACGACACATGTGGATGCAGGTTGTTTCTTACCTGCGTACACGCCATTTCTCCAGCAGGTCGTCAAGTTCAGAATAAGTTCTTACTGGTGGGGTTTGAAGATGGAGTAGAAACAAATGGCTTCCTCCAATTATACTAACAAATTACATCAAATCCCTCCTGACCCCCTTTGCGTATTTTGTGTTAAATTTGTCAAATAAATGATGTTCTCCTCTGTTCACTTTATTTCTCCTGTAGTGTGTGCGCAATTGATATGAGCCTTCAGGACAGAGGACTCCGGGGACATTCATACTAAACCGCAGACTAATACTACTTCTAATGATTGAACCCTGATAGGCTTGAGCATCATTAAAGCAAATGACTTATGAAAAGATACATTGGACATTAAAGCAGAATTCATTACCATTAGGGGCAAATTACTGCTTGATGACAATGGCAAATGATAATGGAAACAATTGTTTTTCTATTCCCATTAACCAAAGGCCAACAAAATCCACTTTGATTCCACTGCTTCAGAGACTTGTCATTATCTGAGGAACATGGCACATGAGCTCCCTTGGCAGTTCCAAGCTAGCGGTTTCACTAGGCCGCACACAGAAAGGGATTTATAGTTTGTCTTTTAATTGCCAACAAATAAAAGAAATGTTTACACATGGGAATTTGCATTGTAAAATGTAGAAATTAAACAAAGCCATAGCACAGATATTTCCAATGTTGCAGTAGAGTGGTTTGGGACATTTTTAAATTGTAACATATTTCACCATACACCCACCAAGATAGGTTCAAAAATGACTTCAATGACAATTACACTGCACAATGAAGTAGATTCAATCCCATAACAATAATTAAGGTATCCAAAAACTAAACCGTTTGAAAATATCAGAATGTGATTCGTGATGAGGAAGATATCAAACGCCTCATTGGTTTCGGTCACACAGCTGAGCTTTACTATCAATTCCTTTGAGAGAATGCAAAGTCACATTCCTAGGCTCTTTTAAAAACGTGTGCCACGAATTCCATTTGCCACCTTTGTAATTGCTCACCGTTTGTACAGTACTTACTGTATATCTCAGCTCGGGCAACATACAGTAGGAGATGGGGAAGCGGACAGTACTGACCAGCCTGTCTTTCGGTTTCAGACACCCCGCTGGACTGTGAAGTCTCGGCGTGGTCTTCCTGGGGATTGTGCAAAGGGAAGTGTGGGGAGCCAGGCATCAGACACAGAACGCGCTACATCCGCTTGAAACCGGCCAACAACGGCGCTCCTTGTCCAGACCTCGGGGAACACACGGACTGTGACCCCGACAACTGTGTGTAAATCTCACACTAGATCCTCTGTGTTTGGCGTAGCCTGTATCTCCAGCTGCTAGATGTTTTTTTTTTTTTAAACGGAGTATAGGTACACTACGATGACTGTATCCCTATGTGCTCCCTGGGGCTTTCTCAAATTAATTAACTGATTTATTTAGGTATTTGCTGCCTCGACATCTTTTCCCTCTCTCACCATTCCCTGATCTTCTTGAAAAAGTCACCTTATCAAATGTAACCTTACAGCATGAAACTTGATCCAAGAGCAGGGAGGATCAGCTGACATACCAGTTTTTCTAAAACAAATCTGCATTTTTCAGGACATGTTTTTCATTATTTACTCTTGATTTAACAGTTTTAAATCAATGTCATCCACATTTTCACGTGCTGTCCCCCCCCCAAAAAAAAACCCCACAATTTTAGTTTCTTTAGTTCATTCCAGAGACAAGAAAGTTTAGCATTTTAATGAGCAACTTTCTCTGGATAACCCAGATGTTTAATCATTTTGTATTTTGGTTTTTATATTGTTTTCATGAGCTAGTGCAGTGCAATACGTTGCAATTAGAACATTAAAAATATCTTTTATTACAATCACATGAAATGCCATTGACTAAATGCTCAGTCTTTTTGGTTACATGGCTCCCTCTTGTGGCTAAAAGTAAACACACACGGATATCAGCAGAGGTAACCCTACGCTACTGTATCCTAAAACGAGCGGGAAAGATTTCATGACGTGAAGAGCTTAAACTGTGGAGTTCTGCCTGTCCTGTTTTAAGATTAGTACATGACTACCAGAAATATTTTTTAATGTAAAATATTGATTTAAAATTAGCCTAATAATACATTTAAAGTTTCTAAATGTACAGGTAAATAATCAGAGATAAAAAAGAGATGACGTCTTTGCTATTATTATCAATACAAGTACATGCGTAACACCTGTGCAAGAGACAATATTTAATTCTTTATTAGCAATTGGAGAATGGTAAATCTAATTTGATAAAAAAAAACATATTGTATAGGTAAACTACAGTTTGAATTATTTTTAATTCTAATTGCTTGAAATGAACCATGGAGATGAAATTTACATGCAATATTATTAATATAAACCTATACTATGAGATACATATATGACTTACATTTTTTTAAAATTAAAAATATTTGCTGTGCAAAGACAAAGTGACTTTTACATTGCAAATACACATCATTTTAAGGTATGTAGCAGACATTATTTTCTTTCTAGTTTTTGTTTTAATTCAAATACATTTTCCAGATTTAGTAATCGAATTAATAAAACACAATTCATTTTTTAAATACTGTCCAAAAATAATAAAAACAAAATACTGTTTATGTAGGTGTCAAAATGTTGCTAAGTTATTGCAATAAAACAATTTTACTGTTGTATGGCTTTTGTTACAGAACACTTTCATTTACTGGGATATCTGGGAAGTAAAGTGAAACCTGTTTTAAAAAATCCATTTTGTTCTTTATAAACATGACAGAGATATTGAAAATAATGTGTTATTTTCTAACTAAATACATCATAGTTTCAAAGCTATACTTGGAGAAAGTAGTATAGTTTATTTATGATAGTGATAACTTCAAATGAGTCTTTGTGAAATTTGTAAATAAAATGTATAGTCATGTTTTTTTCTTTCCATGTTTGTTTCTTTTTTTTATGGGGGAAACTGCCTTTAATCTTCAAACTATACATAAAACGTCTGTTGGGTGGTCTTAAAAGTGCAACATTGTGGGTGAATTAGGATTAAAGGATTAAAATCCTCTTCATGAACCTTGTGTTTATTGTTTAATATAAAAGGAGTTCAGAAACCATCACACTTCATCACAAACATCTATAAAAATCTTCCATTGCTTAAACAACAAGTTTGATTTTGGCTTTAGTGTCTGATAGACGAAGAAAGAACACAAGATCTGAAATAACTATACATTTTGATGAAAAGCAAGGGAAAGAGTATTTCTTATTTTAAGTTTAGATTTGATTGCAATTAGATATCAATGGCTTTATCTATAAACATACTGTCAGTTGAAGAACATATCTCAGGTCTTATCTAACTCTAAATGAGCTCAATTGTAGTGAAGAGGACTAGAACAGAACAGGCCATGCCACTCATCAAAGTCAGTGATTCTGTAGACAACACCACACAACATCAGACCTCGACCCGGAAGTTACCAGTGTGTCTATATCCACAACATACTTTGGTAATCCTGATTTTTGGGTAATCCCAAATACAATCCCATCCATCTATTTTCTGACTGCTTTATCCAATTAAGGGTCACAGTGGGCACAGGGCAGGGAACACACAGACACGGACAGACGCTCACACCAGGGCCAATTTTCCCAGAAACCAGTGAACCCGCCAGTATGTCTTTGGACTGTGGGAGGAAACTGGGGCACCCGGAGAAGATTCACTTGAACATTGGGAGAGGCACCGCTGGTCTGGAGATGAATGAGGGGCCCAGCAATGTGAGGCAGCAATGCTAACCACTGCGTCATCATGCTGCCCGCTACATTGATAACTCTCTGCCAAAAAAAATGTTTCTTGTATCAGTATGAAACTCGCTTTTATCAAGTGTACAACTGTGCCTTGTTTTTAATTTAATGTGAAACAACTTGGGATCAAACTGATTCCCTTCAAAAAGCTGAAGACCTGAGAGAATATGTGACTATTATGTCTTTAACCAAGACTACAAAGATTTTGTTCCTGTTGCATGTCCCCATAACTCATCTGCTTAAGCTCTGTTATAAAATGTGATGCCGCTTTCTGGAATTTCTCTAGTGCTCCTACTGTAGGTCTGTTTTACACAGTGGATCATGTGCTTTGTTATACTGTACTTCATAGGAAGACTTGAAGTGGCTAATACAATTACAATAAATATAATGCCATATAATTACCCTGATGTGGCAATTAGCCTTGCTGCCTCACAGCTTCAGGGTCCTGCGTTCATTTAAGGTCAGGGACACTTGTTGTGTATTTTATCTAAGGATAAAATGGTTAATGCAAATGCATGGATAGATAAATAATTTGCTTTATAAGCACTGATTGATTAAAATGTGTGCACATATTTCCAATGTTGCAAATGTCTTCAATTATTTAGTATATAGGGGGCTGGGAATTTAGTATTTATGCAGATATATAAATATAAATATGTGAATATAACATAAACACATTTAGTTGGTGTGATGATAATTTATTCTCCCAAGCAATTGAGAAATTTCTTACATTGAAAATGTAATATGTTCTTTAACATAACATGCCCCTTCCATTTTAGCCACTGGCTGATTTCACATTTGTACAGTATGTGACCCTGTCAGAAGCTATTGAACTACATTAAAACAGCACTGAAGTGAAGCAGTGTTGCAGTTAATATTCCTGTTTCTGGGCATTCCTGTTTGAACAATCTCAAAGTGACAAAACAAGCACCCTAGAGAAAATAACTTGACAAATTGTTGTTGGTACCGAGTAAAACTATCAAAATTTGTTGTTGAACTCACCTTCAACATGAAGAAATAGAGGAGAACTACTTAACTTCATATTTATGTCATGTCAGCCACTGCCTTAAGAATTCTGTATCACTATTCTACAAATATGCAGCTTCTTTCCCTTAAGGACAATGTTTAAAATACAGTAGCATAAAGGACTTAGTTACAATAATGTAAATGACATAGCATTACTGATTCATACACTACTTTCTGTATGGCCATCTAATTTAATAAAATCTCCTGTAGTTAAAATCCCTCTGTGGAAAACAATAAGATCCGCTTTCAATTTATGTGCTCATTTTGGGTGCTGTATTAAAGTACTTGAGTGTCTTGCAGAGTTTCATGCAGTGAGCTTACTGAGTAATGGATGAATGATTCATATCTTTGTTTTACAGAATGTTTCAAGTATTTCAATAAAGTTGCCATTGCGAAAGAGCATAGTTCAATTTATAACTCCCTTAAGGCAAATGTATTGCCTATTTTCAATCATTTAAAACATAGAATGTAGGCAGGTCATCCAGTAATACTGAGGATGAGAAACATGCAGGCTTAAGAGCTCTTTATTCTACATTTTGTATTTATTTTTAAACCACAAACCACTTTCAAGCATTAAAAAAATAACTGAATTTAAGAACTGTATGTCCCTCTGAACATAAGGCACAAAAGTATTTAGCAATGGTTATTTATATACAAGTCTTTTAAGTTACTGTAGAGTTCCAGCTGGTCTCAATTTTTGGATTGTGGTTTTGTTTGCAAATGTTTATTTTTATTATATAGCATTGTTTGACATTACACAAAGGAGGTACATTTCGGACTGTAATCTGTAATCTACTTTACTAGTCTAGAAAATATTTTCTATGTTACCACCAAGAAATGTCCTTACTTATATGTCCTTAAGATACTATATGCTTATCCAAGTTTTCTTTTTAACTGCTCTTATCAGGGCAGCTGGCAATTAGCCTGTTTTCAGAAATGTCAGGTGTTGACTTCTCACACATGTGCTTCATGTTTCCTCCTATTCCATCAGCTCCAGGTTTCAGCTTTTGCTAATTCCTGTTTGCTATTGTTGTGTGCTACGTTTAGAAAATGAGAGTTAGAAGTATTGGACTGTTACTGATTTCTTGCTTGTGCTTGTCGTCCGCTATGTTTTTTGACTTGGGAGAAAGAGAAGAAAAGTGTATCATTGAAGACATTCCACAAGACACTTTAGTGACAGGTGAGTTTGTGCTGCAAAAAGTAACTCAACAAAAAAATCCTACAAAAGGATATGACAGCTGTTAGCTCACTTGGACGGTTTTAAATGTTTTCCAGGTGATTGAATTAAACAGAAATATCATCAGGTAGAAAGACATTCAGTTCACCGGGTGTGATGTAACATTCCCTCTGACTGCATGCCTTACAAGTTTCAGAACTGGAAAAAAAAGTTGCTTTATCATTTTTTATGCTTTCAGAAAAGGGAACGATAGACATTTCAGTGTGCTTATGAAGAAGAGAAAAGGGTATGCATTTCTTAAAAGCACCCCTGCTAAGTAGGAAACATGTGTTAGAAAAAAAGCAGCACACATACAGTATTCTAATCACTTCTTCCAATTCTGGGTCCTGGAAAAAAAACAGTGGATAACACTTTTAATTAGATTAAACAAGGAATTTTAACTTAATATTACTTAATGTTATCAGATCTTACCAAATGTAAAAATATACTTGCACATATACAGCATATGATTCCCTTCTCTTCAGGGAATTTTAAAATGGAGCTCTGGGGTGGCAGCAAACGGGACTCTGCATTTCAACTCGGCATGAACGTAGCGGTGAGAGACCCGGACTTTCAGGTAAAGATGATGATTGGCACAATTTCTGTTTTTAAAGGTAGACAGGCTGGTAGTTTAAATCTTAAATACTTTGTAGGGAATGCAGGCTTTTCAACTAGCAGGCAACAAATATTGATGGAAAACCATGCATATTTTAAAATGCCTTATGAAAATGTTCCTAATGTTGCATTAACGCATATTTTATTCACGTAAATGACATTTGTGATTATCATCCTTTTCCCATCATATGACTTGTTTAAATACACAATGTTTCTATACTGTAAATCTGGGTTCCAGAAATATTAGAGTCCAGGATTTGAACCAAGCAGTATCTAATCATACAGTATATTTTACATTCTTATTTATGTGAAATTTAGAATGTGTGAGCACTGTCTCTTCTGAATCTCCAAACCAGAAGTACAGTGAGTGGGGAGGGATACTGTAGTATAGGAGATGTTGTCCTTGGTATGAGCTGGTAAGCCATCACTACTTGGTCATTAAAGATTCTGCTGGGATAATTGTATTTTCATGGTTCAGTAGAGTAAAGTATAGCAAATGCATTTGAATGTATAGAAAACCTATGGGTATATAACAGTAAAGCCAGGAGAAATATTATATTGTAAAAATAGCATGATAAATGTTCATGAGGGAGTATTTTAAGTCAAATTGATATCGGGTAGATACTGAATAATAAGCAACACAGAAAAGAAATCAAACAGTAGACTTTAATTTATGATTAATAGTTTAGTCAAACTTTTCATTTAATTTGGTACAATATGGTATATACTGTATATCTAAAATATTTCTGAATAAAAATGCTCTTTTTAAAAAAAATAAAAGTAGGTGAATGTTTCAGTTACTGATTCCTTACTCATCTTCATTAGCAATGAAGATTAATTTAGGAATCTAGTTTTGTGCCTCAAGTATTTTCCTGCCTTCCTATTTTATTATAATAATAACTAAATCAACATTATTTCAACTCCTTACATTCCTTTAATTATCACTGTAATTGTTTTGAATTGTTGAACAAAACAACTGAAAATGTGACCAAAAATATAAAGAATTATATGTTTTCAATATGAAATATAACATACAGTTTTATTTTATACAGTTACTGTATAAAGTTTATATTTCAAAGCTAGTTACTATCCGGTATGATTTCCTTGATCATCAACCTGATTCTGTCAGTGCTGACACAGAGACCTGATCAGCCTCTGGACAGACTGCTGTGGGCTGCTTTACTACTCTCCTGTGCAGCTGCAGCCAACCGATAAGCTTTGGCTGATTGCAGTTGTCTCATGTCGATGGAGTGGTAAGGAGATCACCCAGATATTCTACTGGATTTAGGTCTGGAGAAAAGGCAGGATTATGGCATTGTTTCCTTGAGATTGTGCAATTGTAGTCCCAAATCACTGTAGGTTCACATTGTCCTGCTGGAAATTCAGCACTTACAGAATGACATGTTGTGATAAAAAAAACTGTTGGATCAAGGACTTTTTCAATGCATTGCTGAGCAGACTTCAACAACTCAACAGTCAGCAACTCTCACCATGTCGTCTCCTTACTTTTTGTCTTCTGTCTGATCTCTAAGGGTCAAAACTTTATCAATTGGAAAATAAAGGTTTCCTCTACTTGTCATGATCGCCACTCCTCCAGACCTTTCTCATTCTGCCTCATTCCCCGCACCTGTTCCTTATTCCAGCCCCTTTTCAGTTACCCCTTAAAAGCCATACGCAGACGATAATCGGCGCTCTACATTGACTCCCGGTTCATGTGAGCCCGGGTCCTGATACGTCTGACTCCGTTATGGTTTTAACTTTCTGTTCCCGTTCCCCCTGCCGGTCCTGACCCGGTTCCCGTTTTTAATCTCCTGGATGGATCCCCTGGTCATGGACTTATGCTTGTGTTTTGGAATTCACCTATGGACTTATTTGGATTGTTTGCCCCGCACTCACTCCCCCTCTCCATTCCCGTCTCCTGCATGACTTTTCCCCCAGTGTTTCCTCACTTCTCCGGATTGTGTCGTCAGCATAGGGCCCGGAAAGAACTGTTTGTGACACTGCTCTTTGTTTTCTGACACACAAACGATGTGTGCTTAGTGGCCCTTGTGCTGCCTGTGTGAATGCACAACATTTTCAAGCAGGCAGAAATCTTCAGTTGTTATATTAATGTGCAGGCTATTTCTCCGATGAACATCTTGTACTTTAGCCACTACAGTCTAAAAAACTTCAGAGATCAAATTAATGGAATGGTCCTGTGGTGGTGTGTTCAATATCTGTCTTCCTGGATGTACCGTGTTTATGTCTCTGCACAAATCTGCTGTTAGTGGAATTACAACTTTTCCTTCTTCAGGCAACTTCTCTCAAAGACTGCCCACCTTCATTTGTGCATGCAATGCGCATTACTCATCATGACATACTGTAATTTTTCACTGTTCTTCTGTTGACTAAAATCATGTCTTTCTGAATGGTCATTTGTACAGATTCTTCATTGACACATTTTTTGAGTTATCAAACACTGATGTTTTGCATTTTTGTGAAATCACGTCTTTTCTTCTTATTATTATTATATGCTTAGTATTTGTTTTACCAAAAAAAAAAGAAAACCACACAATCAGATAACAAACATATCTGCTTACTGTTTGTAAAAGTAGATTACTGTACATTATATGCTATGCTACTGAGTTTTTGGTTACTGGTTTCAATGCACATCAGTGAACCTTTACAACTACCAGTATCACTGCAACTACTGTAGGAGTATTAAAATTATTTGTCTAGATTATTTTGTTCCTTCTTACAAAGAAACTGAACCTGGCTGATCACATCATATTGATTAAACAGAAAAATAACAGTTGTTTGTGTTCCTGTGTTTTAGACTGTGATGACTAAAAAATACTCCCAGGAAGGAAAATTCTCATTTACCTCACATACTTCAGGTCAACATTATATCTGTTTACAGTCAACCTCAACTACATTTGCTGTTTTTGCCGGAGACAAGTTGGTAAGTTTAAAGTATGAAAACTGTTTGGCTGGTTGCAGTCTTATCATGTTGATGACAATGGCGAGTTGGTCACAGAGCTGTTCCAATGGATTTACTGTAGGTCTGGAGAAAAAGCATGATTTTACCTTTTTTTCCATGAACATTAATCACACGATCATGTAGTCTTGCATTGTCCTGCTGGAAAATCAGTACTTTCAGATGACTTGCAGGAATGAAAAAAACTTTTGGGCAGTAAGTTGTTCTGAAATTCCATTTGATTCTTTACTCGCTTTTGCCCTGTTTTGGTAAGTACCAGTGGTACGGTATTTTACTGACAAATATGGAATCAGACCCCTTAGCACTTTGCATTTTTCCATTTCCTGCAGGCGAGATGTTAAAGACTAAACTGTAAGCAACCTTCCCCTTCTCTTTAAGTTCATTAGGTCAGAGATAAACTACATACCTACAGCATAACCTGAAATGCACTGATAAGATTGAATAAAGCAGCTTATTATGTTGTGCTTTTAAAAGAAGATTGGGTTAGAGTGGAGGGCCTGTAGCCCTTCCTCAGCCCTCATTCACTATTCCACAAACTCATATGTATAGCTATTATCATGTTTTTTTTTTCCCTTTATGTTACGTTCTATTTCCCCTTCTCTTATACAGTGTGTTGTTTCATTTACATTGTTCAGATTCAGGAGGTGGCATGGTGGTAAAGTGGTTAGCATTGCTGCCTTGGAGCCCTGGGGCCCTGGGTTCAATTCACATTGTACTATCTGTGTGGAGTTTGTATAGTATGTTCTCCCTGTGTTCGTGTGGGTTTCCTATGGGTGCTCTGGTTTCCTCCCATACTCATTAGTACATACTGGTATGTTAATTGGTCCTGGTGGGCATCTGTGTCTGTATGCCCTGTGATGGACTAACATCCTGTCCAGGGTGTATCCTGCTTGCACTCACTGTTTACTGGGATAGGCTGTGACTCTGTATTGGATTACATATTGCATATTTACAGTTACCAGTATATTGTCCTTATTTCTCAATCTACAATACAAATGAAATGCAAAGAGGAAGGAGAAGAAGCAACACATTAAAATGAGAAAATTAGAAAAGAATTATAATCAATCAAAACATGTGAAGCTCAAGAGAGCTAGTCTGACCTGCAGTATGTTAAAAAGGAACCAAAAGTTTTAAAAAAATGTACTTTTGTCTTGTTGACCTCAAAAAACCTAACCTTGAAAAATTTGGGGACAGTCATCACCATTCTTGTGAGAGGACTCAGAACCCTTAGAAACAGTATCACAAGCGAGAGGACTTGAGCAAACGCACTGCTTTTAAAGGGGATGTAATTTCCACCTGTGAAGCATGTTTGAGGGTTCATTTCTTTTTTTGCACACCCTTGCAGACTGCTGCACTTCCTAATGACTTAGTTTCCACAAAGAAATAAGTAAAAGCCCATATGATAGCAAGTGAAAATATTCTTGACCTCCAGAGAGTTCACCTGGATGTGCAGATAGGAGAGCACACTCTGGACCCTTCCATTGTCAAAGCCAAAGATACAGTCAGAGCCATGGAGTACAGATTGATGCATCTGATTGAAGAAGTGCGGCACATCATCAAGCAGCAGAACTACCAGAGGGTAAGAACATTCCAGAAGACCCGAATGGTTGATAATACACTAATAAACAGAAAACAAGGAGTACAGATATGGGGTGATGTAATTAGTAGAATTCCACAGGGATCTTCACTAAACACACTGCTCTTCTTAAATTCTATCAGTTATTTAGATTCAAGTAAACTAATAACGTTTGCTGTGCACACGAAACCAGGAGGATTAGCAAACACTGTTGAAGTAGTGGAAAATAAAATTTTAAAAGATTTAAATAAAATTAAAATCTGGGCTTGCATCTGCAGATGATGGTTAATGGAGACAAGTGCAGATTTTTGCACTCAGGTAGAAAAAAAATCGATAAAGAGAATAGAAAATGAGCTAGAAGATTGCTATTTATTATCAATATAGACATTTTACTTACATCTCCTAGACAAAATGTGAATTATTTTTAAAATGTTTAACTAGCAACGCCTCATTTAGAATACTGTGTACAATTTTGGTCACCATGTTTTAGAAAAGATCTTGCTATTCTGCAATCAGCCCGGAGAAGAGCAACCAGACTATTGCAGAACTTAAGGGAATGTCCAACACTGACAGACTGAAGGAAATCAACCTTCAGTGTCTCTGAGCAGTGAAGATTATGATAGGACATGATACCAGTCCTCAAACCCTCAGATCAATTTGTTACAGGCAAAGAATCAGTTGTGCTTATATTACACTTCTATTCTTGTCAAAAAACTTGAAGATTTTACCAAACACAATTCTTCAGCTGTCAATACCCACAGTGGCTTCACAGTGCAACTTTGGATTTAGGCTAATTTTTTCGGTCAGTCTCTCTCTTGTTGACAAAGTAAACCCAGCGAACACATTCAGAATGAGCAGTGAAACACATACCAAACAGACAGACACACACTGCGTTTTTAAAACTGAGCTCTTCCAACACACATGTTGTTGAAAATGATATCCTGACTTCCTTCAGAAAATGGCTGGATGAGATCCTTGGGTTAATTAACTAAAGACTAAACGGAATAGATGAACCAAATAGCTTCCATTTGTTTGTAACCCTTTTCATGTTCTACTATCGATATTGAAATGAGATGAGACCATTATTGACCATAGATTGAATGTTTGTGTAGCCCCCTTTTCAAACTAAGAGAGTGACTTAGTAGCTGATCGTCTACTTCAATCTCCTGGATACTGGAAAGCAGTAGTTATTGGGAGGAAGAATGATTGCTGGGGATAGTTCTTTTCTGTGCACATTAAACATGTTTATTTTGATAATTGTTACCATGTGAAGATAAACAAAAACAAACAATGTTATCGTATATGTTTATGCTGTGTGTTGTTTAGTGTGTGTATTGTCATTGTTAACAAAAGATTTGTTTAATCCAGTGTATCTGAATTATTACTCTTTTCACTGAAGTTGTGCCAGAGAACGAAGTATTCAGGTGCCTCCAATTATACCAACTGTTCAGGTATATTCTTGGCAAAATCATTTACAAGTTGGGGGTTATGATTATTTAATTGATTTATTGACTAATCCTCTTGGTCAGTTTCTGATAATTCTCTATTTTGTAACCCCTATGTTTGTAACACTACTATCTCATTTATTTTTGTGTCCCTAGCAAACACACTCATTCCTTTTCTTTCCAGCTCTGTGTGTTTTTACCTCTCGTCTTCTTTTCAACAGGAGCGTGAGGAAACCTTCAGACAAACAAGTGAAGACATAAATAGTCATGTTTTATGGTGGGCCATCATGCAGACCTTCATACTCATCACAGTGGGAGTCTGGCAAATGAAGCAAATGAAAGATTTCCTCATAGAGAAAAAACTAGTTTAATAATGTAAGACAAGGGAAAACCATGTGTTGCCAATATACTTAGAGTACTGGTAGTTAATTGTTTAAATACATACAGCATGCAAGCAAATAATAAAAAAAAATAATGCGTATTGTTTTACTATCCTAGACTATCAAGCTGAAGATAACACTTTAAACATTTGCCTCTGTAACAATGACTCAGTTTAAAATGATGGTGTTCCTTCCTAGAATTGAATAACCGTTAAAATCTAAATTGGAGCTTTAATATTTAATTCACATGCCACATTTTCATTGCTTTCTTTCCTTATTTTGTAAATTATTTGGTGTACTGTATCTTTCCACCTAGAAAAACTGAGTAAATGCTGGAAAACGATGTGAAATTTGGAAGTATTCATTGTCTTTATTTTTGCTCTTATTCTTCCACTTTTCAGGTTGTGACATACTGTAAGCAAAGTCTCTCGAGTGCTCTTAATCAGCTTATAAACTCATCTGGATCTATTTTGACCAGAGCAGCTAGCCTGGAAAATGATATAGTGCATAGAGGCAACAACAGAAAACCACACAGAGAGCATACATCTGTACTGTATATTCAGATCTTCAACAATGTCAGGAAGAAGATATTTTTCTATTCCTCATTTTAACTAGCCAAGTGATGTAAGACAATTCTGTGAATCTCTTGTGCTTAACTTAAATTTGGAAATAAACATGCAAACATTAGTTCCAACAAATTTATTAAGAAAATGAAGCGATAATATAGCTTATATATCAATAATTATAATCTCCTTTCACATTCTACATTTCAGACCATATTAAAAGTTTGTTTGCTCTCTTCTTTGACAAACAATCTGGGTCACAGAGGAAGGGGTTTTGATTCATAAGCTGTAACTGGGAAAAGCATGTTCTACAGAATGTGTAACTGTGTTCCATTGAGTGACTCTTTGACCCTGTTGCTGTACCTTTTCAAAAGTTTTTATTTAAAAAACCATTGCTACGGATGCGCATTGCTGCCACTAAGGGAAAAAAACAATTAGCCCCCTTATCTCGTAATTACGAGATAACAAATTATCTCGTAATTACAAGATAGCAATGCTTAAATCAGTGTATGTACAACCTGTTACGTTGTGCACTGAACGCATGTAGAAGCTATGATGAACTTGACTGGCACTTTCGGTTTAATGATTGTGTCCAGCGCCTGCAGAATTTGTACAGATTTCGACTGGGGTTTAGTCATAATGAAATCTTGCAATTTTTAGCAAATATAAGCAGAATCATTACAAGCATGAGGACCAGTTTTGTGGGATTTAGAGATCAAAGCAATTATGGTTCCGTTATGAACAGATACACGTGCAATGACTTCCACTGCTTAAAACTGTAAGTCCGCATGTAGCGATATAGGTATTGTAATGGACACGGCCGACATTACAGGTTGTGTGAGCCGGTTGCCAGAGCGGTGACGTCATCGACATCTCCCTTTAGCTCAGCCAGCTGGTTCCCTGTTGAGTGACGCCAGAGACCTGGGCTTGAGCACCAGCGGTGGAGGGCCCAACGGAGGCGGTAGCCGCGAGGGTGCAAACCCACGAGAACCTGAAAGCGCTGTAGTATTAAAGGAATAAATTAAAGGTTTATTCCATGTTGTACATAGAAGAAAAGAAACACAACATTTTGGTTGTGTTACTTTTTTTCTCTTTTCAGCATGGAATAAATAAAGAGAAAAAAAAGTAACACAACATTTTGGCTGTGAAGCACTCAAAGCCAAAATGTTGTGTTTCTTTTCTTCTCTTTTCAGCATGGAATAAACCTTTAACGTGTTTCTTTGCAGCCTACGCATGCTGACGTAGCTACCTACTTGATATAGGTATTATATGATAATTGTGCTATCGCATGAGCACATAAAGTACAAGAGAATTGCTAAGTCATAATTACAAGAAAATTATCTCGGAATTCTCTGATTTTTTTTTTTTCATTGGTGGCAGCAATGTCCTTCTGTATGTTGCTTAAGAACTCAAACTTAAAATGACCTCTCACAACATCATATCAGCATGCTAAAGAAAAATACAATAAATATTTATCAATTAGCATGAATACATACATTATTATTTTAAAGTTTTATTTTTTTCCTTGCATTGCAACTATAAGATATGAAACCTTGAAATACCAAAGTGTTTAATGCCAATTTATTTTTTTATTCATAAGAGGTCAGTGTATTGTTACTTCAACGGGCCTTTTGTTTTTATATAGCTCTTCTGATCGGGAGCTGCTGGGACTGGGACTGACTGGGCGGCATTGTTCAGGCATTGTATTGGTGTGCTCTTGTTAGTTACCCTTTGTGTTATTGTTTTATTTAGAGGACAGGGTAGCATTTTCAGCATGCGTGTATTGTATGATGGCCTGGAGTTCCTTACACTGCACCAGACAGAGTATTACTCCCCCTGGTGGGCATAGCAATTCAATTCAACAAGCTTTATTGGCATGACCAATGAATTACAGTGTTGCCAAAACGTAGATAAATGTAAACCAGCTGGCTCAGGTCCTGAACAGGGCTCTTCTTTGGGCTCAGATCTTGGCTCACTGGGGCCTTGTAGTGGTAAGAGGTTTGTCACTGCTTTTTAGATGTGGCTTATACTTTATTGCTCTTTTCCATATTTTGATCAGCAGGGGGTTTTGGCCTAATTCTGCTCTGCATATTTTGTTTTGAGTTTTTCTCTGCACATAAAAGCAGGTTTGACAGAACTCAGTGTGCAGAGTTCCTGTGGGGTGTTTATCACATTTTATGTAATCCTGGTCTGAAGGTAGACCCCACACTTCACTTTCACATGGGGCAATGGGTTGGATTTCGTATTCAAATAATTAAAGCCAGATTCTTTTGGGAGGGTTGATGTTGAAAAACCTCCTTTTTGAATAGAAAGCCCTGAGTGCCTTCTCCCTCAGAGTATTCACTGCCAGGTCAAAACTCCCAGACGAGCTGATAGTCAGTCAAAATTATGTGTAGCTGGTTGTGTGTTCGAGAGTGATGTTATTCTGTGTAAAGTTGTACCTGTTTCCAGGAGATCTAGCTCTAGCTTTGGAAAATTATGACTCTGGTCTTGTCTGACTGTCAGTGCCCAGGTCTGACAGTACAGCTCCAGCAACGCCAGACTCTCCTTCAGCCCCTGTTCTCTGGGTGAGAGCAGGACCAGGTCACCAACATAGAGGAAGAACTCGATCTCTGTGTTGTGTAATGTAAGGCTAGGCACTGCAGAATCTTCCAACAACTCTGCTATTCCATTTACAGTATATACAGTAGATATTGAACAGTGTTGGACTCAGGCTGCAGCCTCTTGATTCAAGGCCTGCAAGTACTGGGACTGCATTGCTCAGTTTTTGTCTTGGGTTTTCGTTAGTCATGGTGTCTCTGTATTCTTTCTGTTCCTTCTACGTTGTGACCCTACTGGTATGTGAGAGAACGTGCCTGTCAGCCCCTCTACATGTAGACACTGTAGCTATGAGGCAGCTGGCAGTGAATGAGTTGGTTGAGTTTGAGTGCTTGTACTGTATATATGTGGACATTCAAGAATATGTCTGTTTCCTGCATCGCTATACTTCATTAATACAGTAAATAGGGTAGCTACTCATTATTTTGTCCTAAGTAAAAAAATCAATTTACTCCTGATGAGCCCAGGGCACTTATGATGTTTTAGTAGAGTTATTTTTGATGTGTTAAGTACACTCTCACCATGATCATACACAACTGCCAATAGGCTGCATGCTTACAACTCTGTATATATTTTGTATCTGTATACAACCATTTAGCACAACATATTCTTAAACTGCTAAATTTCAATAGTAAGTTTTCTTTCTGATAATTGTTCTTTTTATGTACTGGACTGTATTTTCAGTTACAGAAGATCTTATCAATACATACTCTATTTCCCCATTTTGCACATCTAGAAGGCATGAGGCATGCTGTCTAAGGAGTGGCTAGCCCCACCATGGAAAGTCACAGGCTAGCGGGTCTTTTGGGTCACCCTTAAATACTTGGAAAATATGAGAGCTTTGATCTGATTTGAGATTTGATTTAGCCAGTTAATTGATTCATGAACAGCCAACTGTGATCCTTTGAAGTTTCAGGCTGTTGGTATTTCTACTTATCTCCAAACTACTTATTTGACAATATTATCTATTTGAGTGGTCAACAGAAAGTAATATCTTAAGTGTTTAATTTGTGAGTTAAGGGTGAACTACGGTATAAAACCTGCAGCACTTTGTCAGAGACACCTTTGGCATACTACTAAATACGACAATACACATATTGGGGGCAGGGAATGGATAGCTTAATTTTTTATAAAAAGTCAACATGACATACCATACATAATGTAAACAGTCATCATTTACTGTGATTCCTACCCCAGACATCCTCAAAATCCACAGATATACAGGTACGTACAGAATAATGCAATCCTAGACAGCTTTGCCTTGACAGTAATAACTCAATGACAATTTCAAAGACAAGTGAACATTCGTTAATAAATGTTTTAATAGCCGGCAGGGTTGATTAAGATGTACTGTGTGTTGAAAAGTAACAGTCATACAGATCTTGTTAATCTACGGGGTTTCGCTAACGGCTCAAGCGGTAAAGGCGCTCGCCCGTGTACAGTTTGAACTCAAGGATCGCGGGATCACTGGCCGGCGCTCTCTGGGCTTGAAGCGACCCCTTGCAGTCTGCGAGGGACGCGCCCCTTTCCTCCAATCAGGGCTGTATCGGCTGTGACGTATTAAAAGGCGAGAGGGCCGAGGTTTAACTTCCTTACTTTCTCCTGTAGGCGGTTGTGGCATTCGCAATCGTAAAATACACCATTGGTGACTGCGAAATAGGGGGGGTAGAACAAGAATATTGACGATTTAATTAAGAAGAAAAAAACGTGTAGTTGTCTCGCCAGGACGTACAGAGAGTTGCTGACACTCAGTCTTGGTGCGCTGCAGAAGTGGAAATACCGGCTACGCAACGAAGAAAGTGTCACTGTCTTTGGTTCTGAATTAGGTATGGTTGTGTTTCGTCACTACAGATATCATTTTTCATTAGTCCTTCGTGAAGACGCGGGGTAGCAGGTAACGTCTAAGGTTTGAAATAGGTTTAAGTCGAATCTTTTAACACTAAGGATTAACTGCGGTCAAATTTGAGCGCACAAAACTCAGAGCTAATCGCTGTCTTCTATGTGGGTCTATTTCTTCACGAATAACGTACAGTACAGTATCCTGTGTTACGAATATGAATCTCGACAAACCAGTGTCACACGGTACATTCGTTTTCGACTAGAAACGTTGTATTGAATTTGTACTGTAGCATTGTTGCTGGCTCTGAGCCTCATATGCAGATTCAGGATTAGTGGTGACCCATTAACATTTGAACTAAAATGTCCCTTAGGAACTAAATGTGGGATTTCCACTCTGCCATTATTTACATTGCAGGTGTGAAGGGCTTCCATAATTACTGCCTGCATCTGTGCTGGATTATTAATTTTCACTGAACGAGATTTAAATCTGATCAATTGAGCTCAGATTGAACGGCTAGCTTCAACACGGTAAGAGCGAACTGGGTATGGAATAATTTCACACGGTGGGGAAATTTACCCATAAATATATTCTGTCCAAATCTTGCTGCGACTCCTAGGACAGTTATTTGCTCTTTGATGGTTTAATCAGTGGTTTCATAAAGTGATTTAATATTTGAACTTCTAGACGTTCATCTGAGGTTTTTGCAAATACTTTAAACCTAAAGATAAATACTTTGCTTCCTGATATTTATTTATCAATCTGAACAGGAGTTAGTAAAGATACTGTAATACAATTACCAGTTTGTAATGAGTTAAAATGTATTTTTTGTTGATGATTAGTTTCACATTGTTGAGTTTTTTCTACTATGCACAGTCCTCAGAGTGAATGTTATTGCTCACTGGGGGAAGGACAGCCGTGAAAAAATGTGAGAGTACACCACAGCTTTTTGAATTTTGGATAAGTATGGTATGGAAAAAAAAACAGTCTGGAAACCGATTTCAAAGATTAAGGATAAACAACATTTCTGAGTAAATCCAACATCTGACATCAATATCAGTGTGTCCATAACATCCATTAATGCTGAAGAAAGCGTCTTTTGGTATTTCAGGGTGGGGTAACCATGATAAATTATGTCACATAACCCACTTTAGGACTCATGCATTGGCATTCCTCTGACTTTGAAAATAAAAATCAAGATTTTCTGTTAATTCATAGTAGGTAATGCACGGATCAATGCCCTGTTTTTACTGTTTTATGAACTAAAGTAAAATATAGGATTATATAGGATGTAGAATCTCAATATGTAAATATTTAAAAAATACCAAATGTATTACTTTGAACGATATAACTTTTGAGTTACCTTAGTACTATTTAATAATACTTTACTAAGCATATAAATATGCATTAGTATTGACTAAATGCTGTCTGAATTACACAGAGAAAAATGAATTACGTTTTGACAAAAGCCTGAAACTATGATCATAAATAGCTTTCATAAGCACTTATTCACTAAGATGTACCATAATTCAGCACTTTAATTTCAAAGGCTCCCTGTAATGTAAGAGTCTTATTGTGCAAGAAAGATTTGTTTTTGCAAAAGGTCTTCTTTCAATACCTTTCCACACTCCAGTGTATTTTGTGGTGGAGATTCTGGTAATGTCATTGTATAGAGCTCTTTTACAGTATATTGTGCTGTCTGTAGTAGTTCAGGGCCAATTGTAAAAAAAAAAAGTCTAAACCAGCAAGCAGAACAGTTACAGGCACAAATTAACACTGGTTGTTAAGTGGCTCAGTTAGAACAAAAAACAGCAGACACTGGGGTATTCCAAGAAAAGCACTAAGAATCACTGTAATACAGAAATTCATAAATTGTAAAGGGCATGAATTGTTGAAATAATCTGTCGAATGACTTAATAATAATAATAATAATAATAATAATAATAATAATAATTGCTTACACTTATATAGCGCTTTTCTGGACACGCCACTCAAAGCGCTTTACAGGTAATGGGGACTCCCCTCCACCACCACCAATGTGCAGCCCCACCTGGATGATGCGACGGCAGCCATAGTGCGCCAGAACGCTCACCACATATCAGCTATCAGTGGGGAGGAGAGCAGAGTATTGAAGCCAATTCATAGAGGGGGATTCTCAACTGCAAATAAGCAGTCAGCAAATAGAGGAACACTCTTAGAATTGAACTTCTGAAAATTGAAAGCAAAGTACAGTAGCTGACCCTCTGTGGATCAGTTGCAAACGTTTGAATCTATGTTTTAGGTATACTAATGTAGAGACAGGTAGTGTGGTACTTTCAGGTGATCATGGCTAACTGCTCACAGACTTACAGTACAAACAATCATTAACTTTGGGAGTCAGCAGCTGCTCAGGTTTAGTACATAGCTGCAGATTAAGAATTCTGAATTTTAATGTACAGTATGTAAGCAAACCATTTCCTTTGCATGAGACTTCAGAAGATAAATATAAATAAGCCATGTTCGTGTGTATCTTTATATCTACTGTATCTTTTTAATAAATAGTAAAATGCCATTAAATGTGCACATTTAACTGTCACTCTTTGTAAGAATGTAATATCCATTGTGCTATTATCCTACAAAATCCATTAGCCATTACAAAATGGTAACACACAAAATTATTCAAGAGCTGTGTTCATTAAAAGGCCATGTAAGAGAAAACAATAGTGGTTTTGTAACATTCAGACATCTGGAGTAAGTTTGAAGCCCATGTGTTTTGAAAGATGACAGTGTAGTAGTGTATAAGGCTTAAACTGGTGACAAGGAATTTTATTTCAATGTATAGATACACTAACCACAGAAATTCAGTGGAAGATCGGAAAAATACCTTGCATCAGTTGTAGGTGTCCTTCTTTATACAACGTAATAAAACTTTCCCCTAGCGTATGGTTCGCCTATCCCAGGAGTGCCAACTAACATCACTGAATGGTTTCACTGATAAGTAAAAAATGGTGCCTCTTTAAGAGGAAAGTTAAACAGGTGCTGCAGGAGAACTGGATAAAGGGCAAAGCAATTACTACATAATTATAATCATACAAAACCTTAATCACATATTTATTTATTTCAATAGGATTTCAGTATATATCTACACTTTTCAATTATTCATTTATGATGTAGTTAAGTAATGGAAGAATGATCAAGCTCAACAGTGGCTTAATTGGGCAGTTAAAATCATTTTGTTATAGCCCAATAAAAAAATTAAATTTCAAGAGCACATTCAACTATTTACTAGGCTCAGTAGTTCTCAATACTGTCATAATTATGTTGACATCTCTTCTACAATGTTTTTCACATAATAATTAAGCCTATGACTGGTTATCATTCTATTATAGCATACTCTTTGAGCATACATAATATTGCCATGCTGTACAAGCTTAATGTTAGCAAATTTCTAACTGTAATGGAGATAAGCTCTTGTAAAAGAAAGTGCATTCTATGATTCACATGAAAGGTAAAGCCAAAAGTTTCTTCTGTAACTTCAATTTGTAGTTCTCACATTGCAATTGTATGCACAAATATTATTAGCTTTTGTATAACTACATATACTGCCTTATTAGAATTTTGACATTTTCATATGTTCTCAAATTATGTACATTATATGTGTTTTAATGATTGTTGTATAACACAGACACAGGTTGGATAACATAAATTATTTATCTATATCTTATAAGATCACTTTATTGGCCATAGACAATTTCTTGTATTAGGAATTTCGCTAACCCCAAGTTGCTCTCAATGAGACACACAGACAGGGAGAGAAGCTTGGGGTCAGAGCGCAGGGTAAGCCATTTATACGGCGCCCCTGGAGCAGTTGGGGTTAAGGGCCTTGCTCAGGGGCCCAACTGTTACGCCGGGCCCCCTTGAGGAATCGGCATTCCACCTCACATTCCAACACAGTTCCCAATTAGCCCTTTTCCCCAGCCTATTTAATGCTGCTTCACACTTTTCCCGGTGATCAGTATTAGGCTTTTCCTGGGTACTCCCAGTCTCATTGTTATTTACTACTTGGTTTTTGGCTTCCTGACCCTGGTTTGTTCTCCGTTTAAGTCTCCTGGTTCTGGTTTTGACTCTCGGCTTCCTTACGGATTACGGCTACGCCTCTGGTTATTTGTACTTTTGCACCGGTAGTTTACCTACGGCTTTCAGACCTCGGATTGTTCTTTCGACTACGCCTTTTGGAGTTTGCCCTGGTTTTCTGCATAGGGTCCTCACTACTAATTCCTGACACCAATGGAGTAGGATTCCTCTGCCTGCCACAGGGACAGATCCTTGGCCACAGAGCCAGCGCACTGCCTCATTTATCTTAGCTATAAAATACAATTATTTTAATTTTAGCTAGTATTTCGAACTCATGCTCATGAAGCCTAAAGCATAGTTTAGTTCAGTCAGGAAGCTTGAGAGGGCAGCAGTCACTAGCTGGAATCCATTGCTACTGAGTTTAATGTAAGGATATACCTTGGCAATGTCTGGTAGCTCACAGTTCATTGCAGTTAGGACTTACGAGCACACCAATTTAGTTTAGCCTTGAAGTCCTAACTATGGGATCTTCCACAACTGATCCAATACCATGTGCTCAATAAGGTGTTTGACCCAGGACAGTTAGGATTTGTCTGGTGTTGGTGTGAAGTAATTTTGTTCAATCCATTTCTTAAGGTTAACTCAGGTGCCCTCCTGTTCAGTTGCTTTCAGTCTGTATCAAGAAATCTTGAATGTTCAAGGTTCCCCAGGGCCACACATCTTGGAAAAGGCAGATTTCTTGTGTGTGTGAACCATGACAGTATGTACTAGATGCACAGAAATGAAAAAGGACACAAGTTTTGATTATGAAGTACTATGTGTTATATAAACATAGATGTACTGCAGTTATCCACAACTAAGCAAAGATGCAATGCGTGTTGCTTTAACAACTTTGAAGATTTTAATTTCATTTTACAGTAATCAATAATATTGTATTGTTATTCTTCAACGACAACCCTGTGTTTTTCTGTCTTCAAGGTCTAACTGGGATGCCTAATTGGATCTTATGCAATGTTTGTTTTCATCAACCTAGCACCAGTCGCCAGCTTGCGGTTACAAACTGTGGCCACATTATATGTGAAGTGTGTTTTCAGAAAGGTAAAATGTCTCTTTCAATATACAGCATGTGTTCGTAATATGCATAATACCTGTACTATATATTATTTTAAGTAACATTTAAAACATTTTGAAATAATCAGCAGAATTTAATAAATTATGAAAACAATAAAACATCTGTATATGGATGCAAAAATTCTAGTTAATTTATAGATTACAGAAAAGAAGAATTTGCTTTTCCACTTTTTATGTCCAAAGTGTTTTCTAATTACTAAAAAAAACTCATCTTAAATTCGAAACTTTAATTGGTGTTACTCATAAATTAGGTGGGTCATTTTTTTTATCCAAACGTGAAGATTCCAGGATAACAGCTGTCTTTTCCTTTTGATATATCTTGCCTTGTGTGCTTTGGCAAAATTGTTTAGACAGCTGGTGACCTATTTTCTATGGAAAAGTATGCTTACCTCAGTCTTCAGAGCTCTGCACAGTAATAAAACAAATGGTAATTCATGGACGTGCTTCAGCTGGCTTGAAAAATGGCCAGTTTTGATGATGAAGTCATCAATTCAAAGCTGCAATAAGTATTATGTATTTAGGATTTAAAACAATCTGTGGCATGAAACTAAGTATACTATTCTGTAATTGTCTGTCACTGAAAATTAAAAAGGTAAAAGATCTTATCAATTTATCATTGCAATGCCAGTCCATGCATTTCTGTCTGTGACGGATGCAAGCATA